GTAGCCATTTTGGTGCGATTCCATGACACCTTCCAATCCCTAATGTTCTGTGATTCTCTTGTCAGGTACCAGGTCATCAGTACACCAACTGACATTTTCATGGTGATGGAATATGTTTCTGGAGGAGAACTGTTTGATTATATCTGCAAAAATGGAAGGGTAAGAAGTAGTCCAATTCTACAAATCAGTGACTTGCATTCTGTTATTGCTTTTGCAACATTCCTGTTAAATGAAGATTTGGGTTTTTTATGTATTCAGCATTAATTTTGCAGTTGGCAATTAAAATATACTTTTATGACTACATCTTGTTTTGAAACTAAAAATGGTTATATGTTAACATGTTTCAGATCTTTATGCATGACTTTGTAGCATTTTTCCACTCTACTGAAAAATAAAGGATAGCAATATATTAATTTGCAATTACTGTGTACAAACTAGATGGATATGTATCCACTTGGAGTAGCTGAAAACTATTTCTTCAGTATAACCTATTATTGGAAAGCCACTGTTGTGCTCTTATTACCCTCTTCTACTAATAGAATGGTTTCTGTGAAAGTTTTAAAGTAACTTGACAAACCATCTAGATAGCCTGGATACTTTTAGTTGTTGGACTGAGCAAGCTTTAACATGGATTAGGGTGTGTTTATAGAAAATGCCCAGCTAAATCTGCTGTTTGGAGCTAGCTGCTAATAGGAGCATAATTAGCATCTAAAATTTATCACTTCTGTACTGAGTGTCAGCAGCTTTTGTCAACTTAAATCCTACATTGTGTTTAAATATCAAAGTTCATTGATACTCTAATTAGACAAAGTTACTGTTTGGGTGCTAATATTTCTAATTACTGAGTATATAATATCTGCCTAACCGATTTCAAAAATGTGATTGAGAAATTTCAGTGACTCTTGAGTTGGATATTGTCTTGGTTCAGTCATTTTAAAGCTGTGGTACAAACAAAATTATGTAAGCTATGAAGCTCTCTGCTACAAGTTCTAATCATCTGCTGTATAAAGTATCAAAGCTATGAATGATAACTTGGTTTTCCTCTATATGAATTAAAGGAAATTTTCCCATGACCTAAAGTTATCTTCCACTGTCTCAAAATTGTTTAAAACTTCTGTTTTAGCTTGATGATAAGGAAAGTAGACGTCTGTTCCAGCAAATCCTTTCTGGTGTGGATTACTGCCATAGGCATATGGTAGTACATAGAGATCTGAAGCCTGAAAATGTGCTACTTGATGCACGCATGAATGCTAAGATAGCTGACTTTGGTAAGCATTGCTATTTTATGTCTGATCACATTTCTGGTGTTATTTAGATCCTGATAATAACTATGGGAGATATTAAATAAAATGTGTATACTTGAATATCCTGGTGGTGGGACATAATTAAAGTAAATCTGAGAAGTACGAATGTAAACCAAAATGGTGGTGGTGTGCATGTGAAGAGAAAGCTTAAGAGGAAAACAAATTCTACAAGTCAGGTATTTTCTGTGACTGGGTGAAATTGTGAACTGCCTTGTTTGGTCTTGCTTAATATTTTATCTGAAATGCTAAATAGACTTAGTTCCCCACCTTGCCACTTCAGAATTGACTCTTATTGCCTGTTTTTCCATCTGTAAAATGCAGATGCTTAGCTCTCTTGGAAGTACAGTGCAAGGACAGTTCATAATGTTTAAGAACCACATTGCTCTAGTAAAATACACATACTACTCCTATGAAACTACTCTAAATTCACTTTAAAAATTCTAAAGATGTAATTGAAAAAATGTAATTAAAGCGCAAAAGGTAAAATAAGAACAGTTAATTTTGCAAACTCCTGTGCTTTTTGCTACATAGCTGCCTAACTAATCGGAAAGCTGAATTGTTTATACTAGCTGTTTAACACAGCTGCTGAGGAGACTGGTAGCTAGTTCTCAGAACTATCTGAATCAGGAAACCTGACCATATAAGCATAGTAAGGTATCCATACTGCTACATCATCATGATATCTCTCTTGTAGGCGTAGTAGATAATACCTGCCCTTGTAATGCTCTTGGATGTCTCTGAAAGATGTTAGGTAATGCTGAGTATTCTAAGTATATCTTAAAAGTATGGTGTTCAAGTATGTGGGTGCTGGGATTCATAGTGATTTCTCAAGTGTAGAAATAGAAAATGCTTTGGGTGAAATGGCTTACCTGGTGAAGAAATGAAGTACAGTAACTTATAAAATATCTTCCTGTAACTCAAGTATCAGAAAAGCTGTAGCATTCAGTTAATCATGACAAGCTTATTGAACAAGAACTTAATAAAAGCTTTTGTTTATTAGAGTATGAAAGCTATCCAAGCTGTGTTCTTTCATATTCTTCCTCCCCTGTAAAACAGCATAATTCCTTCTCTGAGACTGAATTCTCTGGCTTGTAGTAATCTTGATTATACAGCCTCCACTGAGGAAACTAGAAGATATTTTCCACAGCTATTCTAGAAGTGATAATTCTTTACTGATTGTATGGTATGCTGAGGGCTGGTAAAACTAAAGTTCTAAAGTGCACTTTAATCACTAACAGCATCTAAAAATAAAACTATGCTAAACTGCAGTGGTTCAGGAACCAGTTGAAGCAGTGTAGGTGTCTAAATTGAGGCAAAGCTGTGTGCACGCTGTTTATATATAACCTTTTACAGAATTTTAGTCAATTCTGCAGTAGCATTTTCTACTTTGGCGTTTAGAAGCAAATGTGATTTTTAAGACACTTTCTTGTTAATGACCAAATGCTTATCTTGCTATGCTGCTCTTTCTTTTTTTCCCTTAGAGCAACTTTGGTCTCTATCATGCCTGTGTAATCCAAATTGGACTGTTTTTTTGTCTTGGAATGAATATGCTTTCAAAGATTCCTAGATTGTGAGCAATAATGGATTGATGTTACTCAAATTTCTGGTAAACTAAATGCAGAATTAGGTTGCATTCTCATATAAAAAATTCAATAATTCTAAACAATGTTGCTTTCTTACTGAGATAAATTAATTCAGTTTCTAATTTGAATTGCTAGTGATTTGTTCTAGGTGATATATGCAGTGTGAAATAATTCTGCTCTCTGAATCTTTAGTAGTTACTCTTATATACTTTCAGGTCTATCAAATATGATGTCAGATGGAGAATTTTTAAGAACAAGCTGTGGTTCCCCTAACTATGCTGCACCAGAAGTAATTTCAGGAAGGTAGTTTCTTTTCTGTTGGATGCATGTCTACTTCAGTCATTTTGCTGTTTAATTCTAAAGGCTACAAAACTAGTGCAATTTGACAAGCTTGATGCTGAGAAACTGGGCTGAGCTCTTAATTGTCTTGATAATTTTTCGTAAGTATTTAAGCTTTGATGAACTAGCTTTGAATAGTTCCTAGGTGATGTCTAATGTCCCAAATCCAGTGTGTACAGTGTGCCTGAATTGGTTTAAAAGTCTCACTCATAGGTCCTCTTGGAAGTAGAGGTACAGATAGAAATACAGGCGAAGTGGAGTAGCAGTGAAATATCTGCTGCAGAATAGATATTCAGTCTGAAGGTATTTTTTTTTAATTGGTGATTGTCAAATCTGCTGCTTTCAGCTATTCACCCTAATATCACTTGGTGATTGGAGGCCAAATGTATGTTTTATTCAGCTAGTAGCATAGAAGATGTGACAAGTTCTGCTATATGGACTTGTCCTAAACTTCTCGGCCTCCAAGATTCGGAGGCTAGATAACTGCATAGATTCCACTCACATGGTGATAAAAGCGTATAACATGGGCTTTCTTGGTAGTAGGTGCAAGTTTCTTTCAGTTTACCATTGTCTTAAATTGTATCCGTGGATTATTTTTATAGAATAGAAAGAAAAACTAAGTACTTGAACTCTAGTGTCCTTCCTCTTCAAATATGTAACAAAATGTAGGGCACAGGGGAAGACATAGCACTGAAATGGTATAGGAATTGCAGATTAGTTGTCCCAAGTTCACACCCTCTAATTAATGTGATACAAAGTAAGAAAGTAGGAAAAAAAACCCTATTTAAATGTATTAAGCACAAATCACTAATAGTAAACTTTTTCCCAGATTATATGCAGGTCCAGAAGTAGATATTTGGAGCAGTGGGGTTATTCTCTATGCTTTGTTATGTGGAACGCTTCCATTTGATGATGATCATGTGCCAACCCTTTTTAAGAAGATATGTGATGGTATCTTTTACACCCCTCAGTACCTGAATCCATCTGTAATTAGTCTTCTGAAACACATGCTGCAAGTAGATCCAATGAAGAGAGCAACAATCAAAAACATTAGGTAAACACTAACTGATATCTGATCACAGGATGTTGGAATGGTAATCTGAAAATATGCAGAAGAAAAAAATCATTCATACAGCTTGTCCCTCTTTTATAGTCTGAGATGAAAAAATCAACTTCTGGTTGTTTGGCTTTAGCTCTGGCTCTAATCTCTAGTGGCCAATGAAGTATCTATTGGAGGTCAGAGTAAAACAAATATATGTATGTTGCATATAAAATTCTGAGAAACTCTAAGTTTAAGACTGCTAAAGAAAACCTGTTTACCTGCAAAATGGTTTGCAAAAACTGTACTGTATTGATTTCTCAGGGCAAGAAATTGTTTTGCTGTTAAGAACCGCTATTCTGTATTGTAAATTTCTGAGGGGAAGTTATGATTCTTTAACCTTATAACTACTGCTTTTATTCATATTTCTGCAGACTCTGAAAAATAATTTGTTAAGGCTGAATATTCCATGTGTAAGATGGCACTTTCTATTCTAGCTTCAAAACCCTGGCAAGAAACTGTATGAGTGACAATTACTATACAGAATACTGATAAGCTAACGCTTGAAGCTGCAGATTCTGGAGATGGTGACTGCTTTCACAAGTGTGCAGAATAAATAAAAAATGGTAGCTGATAAAGCTGTCCTTCATAGAATCACAGAATGGTTTGGGTTTGGAGGGACCTTAAAGATCATCTAGTTACAACCCCTGTGCCATGGGCAGGGACACCTCCCACTAGACCAGGTTGCTCAAAGCCCTGTCCAACCTGGCCTTGAACACTTCCAGGGAGGGTGCATCCACAACTTCCCTGGGCAACCTGTGCCAGTGTCTCACCACCCTCACAGTGAAGAATTGCTTCCTAATATCTATTCTAAATCTACCCTCTTCCAGTCTGAGATCATTACCCCTCATTCTATTGCTACCTGCCCTTGTAAAAAGTCCCTCTCCATCTTTCCTGTAGTCTCCCTTCAGGAACTGGAAGGATGCAATAAGGTCCCCCGGGAGCTGCCTTCTCCAGGCTGAAGATCCCCAACTCTCTCAGCTGGTTATCATAGAGGAGTTGCTCCAGCCCTCTGATCATCTTTGTGGCCCTCCTCTGGACCCACTCTAACAACTCGATGTCCTTCTTATGTTGGGGGCCCCAGAACTGGATGCAGTTCTCCAGGTGGAGTCTCACAAGAGCAGAGTAGAGGGGCAGAATCACCTCCCTCGACCTGCTGGCCACCCTTCTTTTGATGCAGCCCAGGATGCAGTTGCTCTTCTGGGCTGCAAGCACACATTGCTGGCTCATGTTGAGTTTTTCATTGACCGACACCCCCAAGTCCTTCTCCTCGGGACTGCTCTCGAGCCATTC